GTGACCTTTCTTATTAACGATTTCGTTTTTCAGAAAAAGTCCTGAAGTTTTTTTATACGTAAACCTTTGTGACGTTAAATCTTGAAACCTCCGCAGACCTGCTTTTTAGTTTTACTCTACTTTATTTTTCGAACGTCCAGAAACTTTCTTGCTACACTGAACAATTAACCTAAGTCACAGCCACTGAGAGTATCAACCCGAACGTTTCCTGGCTCGTACAGTAGCGGTTTTTGGGAGAAAAAATGACCTTTTATATCTACCTTCCAGGGAAAACATAGGCTGTTAGTCTCTTTTTTTCTCAAATCCCTTATCGAGGATCTCTATCCAATACTGTTACAAATTTCAATTAATTAATCTTTATGTAAGGCATTGGTTGAGATAGGAATGTCTGTGTCACGAGCGGGATTCGAACCCACGACCTTGAAGAAGAAGAAGAAGAAGAAAAATAACTTTATTCTGGGACTGGTGTCCCCTTAGAATAATTTACATGAGACAAAATATAATAACCTTCTATGAAGTCACATAATTTAAAAAAAAGGAAAAAAAAGATAGATAGAAATCGTGGCACAATGTATGCCAGTAAGGCGGGCCAAAAGAGAAAATTACGAGGTATATTAAACAAAGACAAAAATAATAAATGTTATCGTGAGGTCTCTGCTTGGAGGGAGAGGAGGTGATTATAAAGATGGGATTTAAATGAGGAGAAGGAGGCAGCGTGACGAATAGATAGGGGAAGGGAGTTCCAGAGTTTAGGGGCTCGGATCAGAAAGGATCTTTCGAAGGTATGGGTTGTATGTTGCGGAAGGATAAGGTCGATTGGGGATGAGCGGGTTTTACGGGTGTGATGTGAGGAGTTGAATTGGAGGGATTGGATGATATAAGGAGGACGACGAGTGTGGATGGACTGGAAAAGAAAGCAACCTAGGAAATACTGGGCACGGAAGGAGGGGAATAGCCAGGAAAGTTGGAAATACAACCCCGACACCCGGGATCCCCGAGGGGTGCCGTACACAAATCTTACGCAACAATTGAAAATACGCTTCAATCGCGCGTTCTCCCTCACCGAGAGACCACCGTATGCCACACAGCTGTAATCGAAGAAGGGAAGTATAAGGGAAGATACAAGGAGTTTGCGGGTGGAGAAAGGTAATAGAAGCCAGGACCGACGGAACAGGCAGAGGGAGGCGATGGAATGGCGAGAAATTTGGGAAATGTGAGAATGCCAGGAAAGGTTTTGATCAAAGACTACTCCTAGGTTTTTAACCGAGGAGCAGAAGGGGATGGGGTGGTTATTTAGCATGAGAGGTGGGATGCTGGGGAGGGAATTGAGGAGTTGCTTGGACCCGATAATTATGGCGGTGGATTTGGAGGGGTTGAGGACTAAGGAATTTTTATGGGCCCATTCATTGATGGAGTTTAGATCTTTTTGGATCTTGAGAATGGCCGAGTAAAGATCAGAAGGGTGAAAGGATAAGTATATTTGGGAGTCATCTGCATACAGGTGATAGTTACATGATTGGATGGAGTCGGGCAGATCATTGATATAAATGGAAAAAAGGATAGGAGAAATGCTAGAGCCTTGGGGCACCCCAGATTTTAGAGGGAGGAAGGAAGAGATAAGGCCATTGGGAAGGAAAACAGCTTGGTGGCGATTAGTAAGGTAGGAGTGGAACCAACGGATGGTGCTGGCGGAGAAGGAAAAAGATTCGAGTTTAGACAAGAGAGAAGAGTGAGGGACAGAATCGAAGGCTTTAGAAAAATCAAGAAGGACAAGTATAGTAACTTATAGTAAGTATAGTAACTCTAGACCTTCGGCTAGATACGCCTGCTCTACCACTTGAGCTATTGTGACTTCGATCCACTCGGACACTAACTTCCCATCTCAACCCCACCTTATGAATTTTCCCTCCTTTGACTATCACAAATGTTTAGAATTGGCCAAATCTAGTGAGTTGATCTACACTCAGATTTCCACAAGCACAAGTATGTTTAATTTGAGATAAATTTCAATGGATTGTGTTTGAAGTACCTTAGATGTTTAAATGCAGATATGAAGCGCTGTACCTCGTTGAATCGCTTCTGGAGTTGTGACGACTGTTCTACGACTCATGGGTTGTGAAGAATGTTCTGTTAATAATTGGACGATCTTGGGGGAAATTAGTAAACTACACTTAGGAATTAGGAGGAACATTATTTTATCAAAAGAAAATCTAATTAAATTATTAGACGATTAAGGATCCTTCATACAATATGTCCGTCAAGCATGATCTGTAGGTACGATTTTGTACATGGCCAGTCAGGTAAAAACACAACAAAAATAAATTTAATTGCATCATATCGGTTTCATTTAATATCATAATTTAATAACTCGAGAAGGTTCGATTTTGTTTAGCATTTTATTCATAATTTGTATTTTTGTTTTTTTTTTAAATCCCGTCTGTATATGCAATCCTTGTTTGATGATAGATTGTAATGAGCTCCGACAGACGTTTAAAAACCATGTCTTATACAGAACTAATGATTATTATAAAAAATATATGTGTTTGATATTCTTGGTCCATTTCAAATTATAACCTTTTTTGGAGAAAAAATATTACCTCAGCCCCAGTTCAACTTCAAAATTTCTAATACGACCCGATACATCGGATATATCATTTTAAAGGTCTTTTTACGCTGAAAATAATGTGCAATCGGATTTTAAATGTGTCAAAAAATGACAAAATTATGGCAAAAATTTTGAAAAACGCATTTCGTTTGTTTCGTTATTAATTCAAATAATTTGTTTCTTCATTAAAGTAAACATTAATTACCTTTATTGTTTACATTCTGCCATTGTTTGTCAAACTCGCATTATTATAGGAAATATTAATTTCTAAAAGTAAAAAAATTTACAGTATTCGTTACGTACAGTATTCTATAAACAATGAAACGAAGAGCACTTTTTCCGGTTAGCAGCGTCCGACTGCTGTGTTGGTAGTGGTGGTATTGCGCGTCGTGAAGTCCAAGAAAATTCCTAATCGCCACACAGTAAACCATAAAACGTTTATTCATGTTGTTCGCAATAAGAGGACATGCGGATCAGTTGCTGTTCCATCATCAAGAAACCGGCATAGTAATTTCGACGAGGAGATGAATTTTTACTATATCTATCAATTAATTAAGGTTTTTCGTTGAGATAAAAAATTGAGTGCCACGAGCGGGATTCGAACCCAAGACCTTCGGTTAAATACACCGCTGCTCTACCACTTCAGTTATCGTGACTTCGAACCACTCGTGACATTAACTTTTTTATTTCATTAAATTCACTATTTTCGTGGTCCGCTTGCCCAATTAATACTTTACAATTAATTAAGGTTTTTAGTTGAGATGAAAAAAAGTTAATGGTACGAGAGGGATTCGAACCCACGACCTTCGGCTTGATACGCCGCTGCTCTACCACCTGAGCTATCGTGACCTCGATCCAATCGGACATCAACTCCCCATCTCAACCCCACCTTATGAGTTTTTCCTCCTTTTGCCATTTTTCATTTCAACTTGAAAGAAGTATTTGGTCAATAGGCCCCCGAAATATAATGGATTTAATAAGTAAAACGAAGCATATCTTCACTAAAGCTCTCCGTGCCTATTTCATTTGTCGCCAAGAATCGAATCCTGATTACACGACATTTGAAAAATGGCAAAAAGGAGGAAAATTCAAAAGGTGGGGTTGAGATGGGGTGGTGTCAAGTTGTGGAGCAGCGGGGTATTTAGCCGAATGTCGTGGGTTCGAATCCCGCTCGTGGCACTAACTTTTTCATTTCAACCAATACCTTACATAAAGATTAATTAATGGAAAGAAGTATTTGGTCAGTAGGCCCCCGAAATATAATGGATTTAATAAGTAAAACGAAGCATATCTTCACTAAAGCTCTCTGTGCCTATTTCATTTGTAGCCAAGAATCGAATCCTGATTACACGACATTTGAAAATTGGCAAAAAGGAGGAAAATTCGAAAGATTGGGTTGAGATGGGGTGATGTCAAGTTGTGGAGCAGCGGCGTATTTAGCCGTCGTGGGTTCGAATCCCGCTCGTGGTACTAACTTTTTCATTTCAACCAATAACTTACATAAAGATTAATTAATTTGAAACTAGATTAAAAAAATATTAAACAAGTATTTTTTTTAAATAGCATCATTGGTTCAAGAGAAATTCAGCGGGGCCATCTAAAAAGGACACCCTGTATATTATGGATATAAATAGTACACACAGTGTAAACAGAATTTTTGTAAATAATAATGCATTTTCTATTTTACGATTTTCAACCTAATGTTTTATATGTTGTGAAGACATTTTTGGACTAATGATTTTGCTGCGTTTAGGGCTTGCTATTTGTTAATCTATTTACTATAGTATGTTTACCTTCTATTCTTTTTCTATTATATGATGATGTTTGGCTTTTTTGAGTGTCGATCGGTTTAGTTGGCCATTTTCCAACTGGCACTAGTTGTTTCCAACGATGTTGTTATTGCCATGCTGATTGATGTATGTTGTCTATATTGTCTTTATGTTATATCGTTTTAAAGACTAAAGAATTTATATACACTTGTATTTCCAGTTTGTGCTGGAATTATTACTATTTGGAAATTTCCAGTTAATTAATCTTTTAAAAAAAATTAATTTTTATTTGTATACTATTAAAGCAGGCTATGGTGACTGAAATTTCTCCTGTTGCGAAATGGAACGTTCAATTGTCCACGGAATTGTTCTCTTTATTTTCAGTTCAAATCATATTATAAGTAAATATATCATATTTACGATGTGAAATCCTTGATTATCTTTGCCCATGCATTTAGATTATTCAAGTAAGCTAGATTACAAAACAAAGTATGCAATATAAATTTTGCCACACATGAGAATTTGTCCTATAAAATGAACTAACATTTTAATAGTAACTTTCGTGTGGCAAAAATATTTTAAGAGCTTTTTTCGGAAATTTTGTGACATTTGAAATTGGATGGAAGGAACGTTGGCGGAGGAGACCGCGTTACTGGGATGCACACCACAAGCGAGTGCCGACCCCTATGAAGAAGCGGAGGGCCCGGAGATCTCCGACGAAACAGGAGTCCGTGGACGACCCGCCCCCGGAGCCGCCTCCCCGGGGGGTGCCGGACCCTTACTATCCCATCTACCTCCCCATCGACCAGGCGTTCAAAGCGAAATACGTTTTCCACCAACGACGCGGAAAGACTTTCCAGGAACGCCTCTACGTCTTCCTAGAGCATCCCGGAGGCTGGCTTTGCTTCGTCTACCACTTCACCGTGTAAGTAGCTTCATATTTGCAAGCAATTTCTCACTTGAAAAGCATGGTTTAAAAATAAAACAATTTTCCCTTCACGCACAAATAAGCATGTTTTTTACATATTTTATTAGACTTTCATTTGAAAATTTCTTATAATATATAATGTTTTATTCTTTAAGTTTTTTACTAGAAATATTATGCATTAAATAGTCATAACAAAGCGTTCCAACCTCCAAAGAACTAATCGAAAATCCTTCGAACAACCGCTGTTCTCAAAACTACTAAACACCGGACCCTCATCCCAACTCCCTAATTATAAGACAACAAAATTACCCATTTGGTTTAATTGATTCTTATTTTTTATGCAAAGTATGGTTTAGTCGAAACATTAGTGGCAGGACTCGAACCAATGACATCTGGATCACTACCCCGGTGTCTACCACTGCGTTCTCATGAATTCAGGATCGCAAGACGCCAACTCTACATTTTTTTGCATCTCCCACTTATTTGAATAATAGGATCAAAAAGGGCGTCGGTATCCGCAACGGTTTAGGCGCTGACACGGCGCTCATCACTGTACGGTGAAGGTTCCGGGTTCGAATCCAGCGGCCACTACTTACAAATGGGCTTTTTATCAAAAACACCGGCACCCAGAGAGTTGATATAACCTTTGCTGTTGCGAACCCTCGTAAAAAAAATTAATTTTAAAAAATATTTTAAAAAACGCATAAAAACATAAAACCAGAAAAAAATTGGATCAACAAAAACCATATATGTTATAATTTTTTTTTCCGGCCGGCTAGCTGCCTGGGCTATTGCCGGCACCTCACATTTCTTCCACCTCACATTTTATAAATTTATTTATTTTTATTTATTTATTTATTAATTTAATTTAATTTTTTGTTAAATTAGCGGCGATCTTTCTGGTTGTGTTCTGGGACGTTATTTCTACATTTTTAGCCCTCCCACACGTGGTGAAAAGGCTCTGAAACTATCTCATTCACTAACATTCAATCCTAGCCTTGCCTATAGGCGGGTTTCAGAGTACTCGATATTCCTCTGAAGACCCGCCCTCGTTCACGCTAATAAATACATCCATACATTATGTACAATTAAAATTACAATTAATCTAAAACGTTAACCTAGGTGGTGGGTTTATGGGGTACTTGATATTCCACCATAGACCCACCCATGCATACACTACTATCGCACTAATAAATACATTCACTCAAACAGTAACCAATCATTCTGTATTTACAAATTAAAAAATGCGGAGCCACTGGCGCATTTAATGTTACAACAGTGCCTCCGCCCATTCACTCTAAAAGATATTATAGCCTAATACTAACCTAAATCGGTGGGTCTGTGGAGTACTCGATATTCCTGCACAACCCACCCATACACACTCTTTCGCGCCAATAAATACATTCTTTCTACCAAAAACACACAAAGAGATGTCTATCCTAGTTTGGAGGGTCTGTGGGGTACTCGATATTCCGACCACTACCCACCCATACACTCACACATTCTCGCCAATAAATACACTCAATTCAGGAAGGGAAAATGAAACCACATGTGGAGAAGCCTTAAAGGCAACCATATGCATTTATTTGCTTCAGATATTTGATTACTTTCTTGCTGTTGTCATGGCTGTGTTGCAAAACCTCTTTCAAGCTCGAGGAAAGGCACACTTTGTTCTGTGCGGCGCCAGTAGTTCGCATTCGGTTAGTAAATGTTTAACAGTTATTTGTGCGCCGCACAATGGGCATCTCCGTGGACTTTTCCTCGCCAAGAGATGACCATGCGTCAGTCTAGTGTGGCCTATTCGCAGTCGGGTCAATATTATTCTCTCTGCTTTGCTCATACTATCCATGGCCCACGGTTTGACCGACTGTTTTAGTTAGTTCTTTTAGTTTGTCGGTCATTTTGTCCCAGCGGTTCTGCCAATCTTTCCAGCAAAGATTCTTCATATATTTTTTGACATCCGCTGGGCTCACGGGAGTTTCCGGGTCATGTGGCATTATCGCTGCTCGTTTGGCAGCTTGATCGGCATTTTCATTACCTTCTATGCCGACATGGCCCGGTATCCAGGCAATAACTACCTCTTTTCTTTGTTCGTGTATTTCCCTGATTTTCTCTTGTATTGCCTGGATTAGTGGGTCCATGGTGAAGATATTACGGATGGCTAAGACCGCACTGAGTGAGTCGGTGCATATGACATATTGGTTGCTCCCAATGTGTTAAGTTTCACTCAGCGCGGATGATATGGCGGTCAACTCTGCGGTAAAGATACTTGCAGCCTTTGGGAGAGGAATTGTTTTGGTGTGTTTTTCCCAGCATACTGCGCTGCCGACCCCCTCACTGACCCTCGAACCGTCTGTATAAATCAAGGTTCCTTCACTGTATTCTTCTTTGAGGGCCAAGAATTTAGCTTTGAATACATATGGGGGGGGTCTCTTCTTTCTTCAATTCCGCCATATCTACCCGTATAGGAATTGAGGAGAGCATCCAAGGTTCCTTCTTATGTTATAATAAAACGTTATAACATAACATTAAATAAAACAAGCAAAAAAACATAAAATTGGCGACGGTATATTCGATATTTTCGTCAAATATTTCTCATGAGGGCTAAAACATGAATGGCATTGAGAAATATAAAAATATTTATTTACCTATAGATGAGGATAAAGAAAAATATATTTAAAGGATTTTAGTACAATGAATTAAATGGAATAAATTTATGAATAAAGAGCACGCTCTGGCTGTGTTCTTTGACCTCGAGAAAGCGAATGGTACGACGAGCTATGCGATACTTCGGAAATGATGGGATATCGGATGTAGAGGCAAATTACCCTGGTTACTTAATTGTTTCTCACGGAACCAAAAATTCCGTGTCAGATTGTAGTCCGTGCCGACTTTGTTCAAGAAAATGGAGTCCCTCAGGGTTCAGTGATAAGCGTTACACTTTTCTCGATCGCAGTGAACGGAATCGCTGACGGTGTCCCCCGACCAATCAGACGATTACAGTATGTCGACAACTTCCGTTTTTTCTTTCAGGGAAAGATCTAGTGAATCCGGAAGGGTGATGCATTCTGCGATAAGCGTTGTGGCTGGAAGAGCGTAGGAAACCGGATTCGCCTTCTCTACATTGAAAACCGTAAACCAGCGTCCACTTTTGCAGGCTTAGGAGGGCTCACTGCCCAAGGTTCATACAGTCGGTGATAAATGGCAATAAGAAATACCAAAATGTTTAATTTAAAGACAATTGCATCACGTCAGTATTATTAAACGAGGTACATTGTACGAGCCTTCCTAAATTTCCTTATTCTCATCCAATTTTCATTCCCTTGACTAAAACGTAAATGGCATCAAGAAATAAAGTAAGTTTATACTGGGGACTGGTGTTACCTTAATTTAATAAGATTCGTAAATTCCCTCGTAGCGTTGATTATTATGTAAATTAATGTTAACTGTTTACTAAGTTAATATTTATCTTGAATTTCAGACACTGATACAAGATTTAATTTTCATTTTTTAAGCTCGCTGATTTGACTTTACAAGGAGTTTTTTTTAACATGCGCCAGCAGGATTTTTCTGTTTATTGAACAGGTACATTCATACAATTTGGTACAAAAAAGTGACTAATGGTAAACCCCTTTACATTTTTGCGCAGATTCCAAAACCTTCATTAATTTTTTTTCTTCATTTTTATTTCAAATGGGAACCCCAAATTTTTAAATTTTTTCTGAAACTAAAGTTACTCTGAGAAGAATATAGAAGAGTACCACAACTTTAGAACACCCCTAAAATGGAGGGCTGCAGGATTTTTCAAAAATGTAAAAAAAAATTAAGGAAATTTCATAAAATAAACATAAATTGTTTATTAAACATTTAAAAAAATTTTAGACAGCCATTTCTTATAATAATAATAATGGGTTAAATTGCTAATTTGAATATAGATAATTATGTGGATACTGAAATATACCTGACAATTATTTAAACAATTAAAATGATAGTTTGTGGACCTGTCATCAAATAAATTGTCAAAATTGAAAAATCACTCATTACCAAAATAATCCTCTCCATAAACACTTGCATTTTTACCACGGTTCAAAAATCCTAGAACCGTCAATTTCGGAGGTACTCATTACTTCTCAGGAAAAAAATATGTTTAAAAAAAAAAAAAAAAGATATAGGATTTTTATTTTAAATTCAAAGGTGAAGTCGACGATATCGAAAAAAATTGACGACGGCTTGGAATCTGCCCAAAAAAACAAAATCACTCATTACCAAAATAATCCTCTCCATAAACAGCTGCATTTGTACCATCGTTCAAAAATCCTAGAACCGTCAATTTTGGAGGTTTCCAACGGTACTCATTTCTTCTCAGGAAAAAAATATGTTTTCAGAAAAAAAAATAAAGATATAGGATTTTTATTTTAAATTCAAAGGTGAAGTCGACGATATCGAAAAAAATTGACGACGGCTTGGAATCTGCCCAAAAATGTCAAGGGGAAGCTATTGGTCAGTTCTGGTTTCTGTTAAAAAATAAAAAACCTTGTAGCCCATGTTGTAATAACCAACGTTGTAAATATTTTATGCTAGTACAGTAACGTTACTTCCAAGATTCACTAATTTCGTGGTCCGCTTGACCAATTAATATATTACAATTAATTAAGATTTTTAGTTGAGAAAAAAAAGTCAATGGCACGAGCGTGATTCGAACCCACGATCTTCGGCTTGATACTGATATGAAAAATGGCAAAAAAAGGGAATATTCAAAAGGTGGGGTTGAGATGGGAAGTTGATGTCCGAGTGGATCGACGTCACGATAGCTTCAGTGGTAGAGCAGCGGCGTATCAAGTCGAAGATCATGGGGGTTCGAATCCCGCTCGTGCCATTGACATTTTTATCTCGACTAAAAACCTTAATTAATGGTTACTTCCAAGGTTCCCATGATGTAAAACTAAATATAGCAACAACTAGTTTTGATAATATAAATGTTGATTTTATTTGTTCGTTTCATGGATAGCCTAGGTAAGTACGTGCGAAAACATAGAAGATGTGACATTTTTACTATTTGATTAACG